CTGCACGGCTTATGCAGTTGGAGAGAGACGAATGAGTGAGAGATAGGGGGAGGGAAGGACAGAGGAAGAGAGGGAGAGATGGAGAGATGGAGAGAGAGAGAGAGAGAGAGAGAGAGAGAGAGAGAGAGAGAGAGAGAGAGATTGAATAGAAAAGGAGAAAAATAAACGGCATCGCACTTGATGAAAAAGGCGCAGCAAGGGTTCCCACGAGCTTGACGCATTAAACCCCTTTTGGTGTTGAAATGTGTGATGAATACTAATGAATTTTCATGACGGTTTCGCGACCCGTCACGTATACGACCCAGCAGGGCAAGCCCGGGCATCGTGACCGAGGCATGTGCAAAGGGCGTGCGTGCGGGAGAGAGCAGGGCAGACAGAAGGGACAACTTTCGTTACAGGCGAGCAGTTCGTATCCGAGAATCAATCAAGACAAAACAAATTGGTTTAAGTACACCGCATTGATTATTGAGAGCGAAAGCGAGACGGACAAGAGGGCCAAACAGGAATACATCAAAACATTCTCAAGTGAAATAATCGCGAAAAATGACAAAGAGAAAGTGAGAATTCAAATCCGAGGGTGCGGAATAGACTCGTCTCGTCCAGCTGGCCCAACGAGACTCCGGACCTGGGCGGGCCGAGGAGTGGAGATGGGGTCGGGGAAGGGGGCACGTGGCGCCGCTGCACGTGACTACACGTGACAGATCCGTGCGCCTGTAGGCGTGCTCGCCGCCAGGCTGCGTACCCGCGAATAAGACATCGCACACACACTGCCAATCCGCACCCAGAAACCACTTGTGTATATATTGCGCCTTTTAAAGCTGCCCTGGCTGTCCTACTACTTGTCTCATTCTGACATTTGACACGGACCCCCCCTCTTCACTAAGTCGATGATGGTGATGGCAGTTATTGGCGATGCATTCGTGCGTACAGCAAATGCTGCCAACTGCTGCCTCGTACAACCTGTACAATCAGAGGCCCTGGTGGTGTGTGAGTGTGAGTGTGAGTGTGTGAGTGTGTGTGTGTGTGTGTGCGTTTGCGAGAGCAAAGACAGATATGCCAGTTTGCATACGAGCAGGACTGCTGGGCGGCCCCGGCCTGTCCTGTCAAAGCGATCTTTTGATGTATGGTGGCGGAAAGGGCAGAGCCGGTTTCATAAAAATAAAAAAGAGAAAAAGTAAGAAAGAAAATAGAGAGGGTTAAGCCGGAGAGTTCAGAAAACTCTTTCTCATAGGCTACCAGCGCCATCAATAAGGATGTCGATGACAAAGTGTTCAACATGGTGTCTGATTTACGAAGTTTTCCGGTCAGTTGCAAAAGACGCGTCCCTGACCTGATGCTTGTCCCACAGGCGATGCGGGTCGCCGGCGCGCTCGTGGACCGGTCGGGTGCCGTCCTGCGGCGCCACCTCCTGGTCGTGCTCCGCGCCCTGGAGTCCGGACAGGTCCTATTGGCAGCCCTGGCAAGTGAGTATAATCCAGGCGGAGAGAGCCTCAAATTATCATTACAGTTTCGCATGAGAACTTCACAGAGTTCACCGCAATTTCGAAAGTATAAAGGAACTCCACAATAAATACACCGAGGTGCGAAACTGAAATGGTTGGTTGCATCGCCACCCTCTGATCTCGGACCTATCGTCCTTGCAGGCGTTGTGCGCTACCCGGGCTCCAAGCTGGAGCCGCTGCTGCAGGGGCTGGCCGCGCTCTCGCTGCTCAAGCGGCTGCACCACAGCATGGTCATGTGGAACGAGCGCCAGGAGCAGCTGCGCCTCGAGGCGCTCGAGTACGACGGCCGAGACCCCACCGAAGACCGCGTCCGGTGCGAGGTCCTGCACGAGCCTGGCGGGGACCCCGCCGAGGTGCGCGTGGACGTCGTCTTCATCCACGGCCTTAACGGCTCCATTCGCAAGACGTGGACTCAAGGTACGCGACGAAAACCGAGGATGTTTGTGTGTATAATTTTCTGGCTAAGTTTTTTTGCAAGATTTCTTCCTATTTTTCTAGAAATATTTCAAATTTTGCCAAACGTTTCTGGAAAAGCTACAAATTTTTCAGAGAAAATTGCGGGCTTAAAAATTCTTTGCGTGTTTTGGGGGGAAGGAAGAAAGAGACGAAGAAAGAGCGCACTCTATATCTTGGGCACGTATTCCTGTCCCATGCAGGCGAGCGCAGCGTGGAGGACGGGGTGCAGCGCCAGCTCCTCAAGACATACCGCGGGGAGGAGGACGGCGACGAGGGACGCCGGAGGCGGGCGCCGGCGCTGGACCTGACCATCAGCAACCACCACTTCACCGTGTCCTGCAAGCGGCGCGGCGAGGCCGGCGCCCCGGACAGGGGGATGCTCGTCTGCGACTGCGACGACTGCGCCGGCAGCGGCTGCAGCACGCCGCTGGCCGACGGCGCCGACGGGGGCGGCCCACCCGCGGCGCCGCGGCCCAAGAGCAAGTGCTGGCCCCGGGACTGGCTGCCCGTCGACTGCCCCGGCGTGCGCGTCCTGGCCATCGACTACACCACGGATCCGTACCTGTGGCGGCCCGTGTGGGTACCAAAGCTGAGCAGGTGAGGAAGGCACCGCAGCGCATTCACTTTAGCCCTGATCTACGAAAACGCAAGCGTAAACGATTACGATATTAATCCCAGCATGTATTTCGTTTGAGCGCCCGCATGTTCTATAGTATTTTCTGAGCTGTCAGAAGTTGGACCATCATGCTCTGCTCATTTGGAACCTAAAAAGAAACTTCATAAAAAGAGTTAAGCTGTGACACCGAATACGGCGCTTACGCTTTCACATCACGCTTTCCTAAATCGTAGAGTGAATACGGCAACAAGTCTGATGAGCTTGTTTTTTCCGCGGGTTCCTGTTTACCGCAGTCGGGCATGGGAATGCTTTCATACGCGGGGCGGCACCGGACGCTCGCGTTGCATAAGGCCATCAGGACCCATGCAGAAAGCGACTCGGGCCGGGGGCTGCGGGGGCGGCGGGGGTGGCGGTGTTGGCGGGGCGGCGCAGAGGAGGGGGTGCAACCTGCCGCAGTAACCCGTGAGTCACGGTCCCGCCCCGCGACGGGCCCTATTCGAATCGCCAGGCAAAAAGCAGGGCGCCCGCGGCGGCACGGCTATATTGGACGGCTCGTTGACCTGCTCTCAGCTGTGCCATCTCTCTTTCTCTCTCTCTCTCTCTCTCTCGTGCAAACATACATAGTGGTCCTCTGGTGGCTGTTGAACCGCGCGGCCCCGAGCGGCATAAGGCTCTGGGTGACAGCAGCTATGGGAGCGGCGGCGGGTGGGGGGCAGCGGGG